AATGTAAAATGCAGGGGCCTCCCTGGTGGCGCAGTTGAGCACAGCGCTGTGAAGCTGTCCACAGCCTCAGCAGTGCCGCTTGGATTCCCGCCAGCCGTGGAGCAACCCACATGGCAAAGCAGATCTCTCCTGTCTCACCCGCTGCTCCCCTCAGCAGTGTATTTTGTCAGTCTGCCTGTTCTGCTCCCCGCTCTGTCTCTGGTGAATCCTCTCACCCTCCTGCACATCTGGCCTGTACCCTGGTTCTTGTATAAATAAATAATTTTTTTTTAAAAAATGTAAAATGCAAATCAACAAAACTTCTAGAAGATTACACAGAAACAAAACTAGGTGAACTTGGATCTGGCAGTATTTCAATGCAATATCAAAAGCATGATCCATGAAAGAAAAAAGTGGGTAAGATGAACTTGATTAAAATGAACAACTTCTGCTCTGTGAAAGGCACTGTTGAGTGGATGAATAAACAAACCACAGATCAGGAGAAAACTTGCAAAATACCTATCTGGTAAGGGATTTGTGTCCAAAATATACAAACACTTAACTCAACAATAAGAAGCCAAACAACACAATTCAAAAGCCAGCAAAAGAGCTGAACAAGAGACCTTGCTAACGATCTACAGGTGATAGATAAATGACCAGATATCATTCAGGAACTGCAGATTCAAACAAGATAACACTACACACCTGCTGGGATGGCTAAATCTGAAACACTGACAGCATCAAATGCTGACGAGGATGTGGAGCATAGGAACTCTCATTCATTGCTGGTGGGAATGCACCATGGTGCAGGCTCTTCAGAACACAGTCTCAGAGTTTCTTATGAAATATACATAGTTTTATCATGTGATCCAGCCAACTCATTCCTGGATATGTATCTACTTGAGGTGAAGATTTATGCCCACGCATGGGAATGTTCATGGCAGCTTTATTTATGATAACTGAGGGTAGAACAAACTGGTATGTCCTGCAGGGATAAATGGATAAACAGATTGTTATCACCCAGACAATGGAATAAAAGACATGAACTATTGAACCACAAGAAGACACCGAGGAGCCTTAATGCATATTGCTACGTCAAAAAGTCAGTCTGGGGCTTCCCCAGTGGCGCAGCGGTTGAGCGCTGGGTTGCGAAGCTGCCCGCAGCCTCTGCGGCGCCGGTTCGATCCCCGGCTGCTCCCCGGCCACCGGAGGAGGGTCCCACATGGCGCGCAGGCCTCTCCTGCCGCCCGCTGCTCCCCTCAGCAGTGTCCTTCGGTCCTTCTGCCTGCTCTGCTCCCCGCTCTGGCTCTGGTGAATTCTCTCACCCTGCCGTGCTTCTGACTGTACCCAGTGCTTGTATAAATAATAAATAAATAAATCTTTAAAAAAAAAAGTCAGTCTGAAAAGATTAATCCTGTGTGATTCCAACTATAGTATGTTTCAGAAAAGGCAAAACTCTATTGATTAAAAAAATCAGCAAATTGGGCCTCCCCGGTGGCGCAGCGGTTGAGCGCTGGGTTGCGAAGCAGCTCGCATCCTCTGAATCGCCGGTTCGATCCCCGGCTGCTCCCCGGCCACCGGAGGAGGGTCCCGCATGGCGCGCAGACCTCTCCTGCCGCCCGCTGCTCCCCTCAGCAGTGTACTTCGGTCCTTCTGCCTGCTCTGCTCCCCGCTCTGGCTCTGGTGAATTCTCTCACCCTCCCGCGCTTCTGACTGTACCCAGTGCTTGTGTAAATAAATAAATCTTTAAAAAAAATCAGCAAATTGTTGGGGTTTCAGAGGATGAAGGGGATGGAGGAGGAGGTGAAGCAGGAGGAACTTTCAGGGTGGTGAAGCTACTCCATGTGAAACTGTAACCTCGATTACATGACATGAGGCCTTTGTCGGATACATGGAGTTGTACAACACAGAGCGAAGTGTAATGTAAACTTTGAACAATGCCTCATAATAATGCATCAATACCGGCTCATTAACTATCACACATGTGCCAGACTAACACAAGATGCTAATAATAGGAGACACTGGGAGAGGCGCAGGGGGAGATCTGGAACTCTATTACTATTTGCTCAATGATCCTGTAAGTCTCAAACTGTACTCAAAATAAAATCTATTCGTTATTTTTAAAAACCATGCTGAGAGGGGGCCTCCCCGGTGGCGCAGCGGTTGAGCGCTGGGTTGCGAAGCTGCCCGCGGCCTCTGCAGCACCAGTTCGATCCCCGGCTGCTCCCCGGCCACCAGAGGAGGGTCCCACATGGCGCGCAGACCCCTCCTGCCGCCCGCTGCTCCCCTCAGCAGTGTACCTTGGTTCTTCTGCCTGCTCTGCTCCCCGCGCTGGCTCTGGTGAATTCTCTCACCCTCCCGCGCTTCTGACTGTACCCAGTGCATGTATAAACAAAACAAACAAACAAACAAATAAATAAATAAAACATGCCTCTATAAAAAAATAAATAAATAAAAAATAAAATAAAAACCATGCTGAGAGATTTCTAAGCCTGGACCATAATCCCATTTACACAGTGTGTTGCGTCTGGGTCCGGTCAGCGGCTGCTGTCTCTGCAGAGGACAGCTGCACTTTCTGGACTGGAATTTTGCCAAGACGTAGTCATCGTTTCAGAACTTCCCATTAGTAAGTGCCAAGGATGCCCTTTGAGGGTGTGCGCGGGCATTCACTGAGTTTTATAAAGAGGGGCTGGGAAGTCACTGCTTCACTGTGCACCAGTAATGGCTTTCAAACACATTATTTTGTTACGACCTACTTGTATTTTTCCCAAGTCATGCAATTAGGATTCTACATTGATATTACATATTTTTGTATGTAGCTTGGTCTTATTATCTGTGAATTTCATCACTGCATAGTAACAAAATATTTGCAGTGCACAGGATGACTAAGTCTGATGGAGTTGAGAGCCTCGCCTATAAAATGAAATCCAGACTCCTTACTCAGTGCCCTGGCCTGTTGCAACCAGCCTAACTGTCCCAGAGCCCCTGCCAAAGCCATCTGCATGCACGCCCGGGAATGCGTCCGTCAGCCTCGGCGTTCTCAGAGCCTGGTTGGGTACAGAATGTCCTCCCGGCCTCCCCTGGGTTCTGCACCTCAACAAACCAGGCGCCCCCCGTCTTCCTTTCAAAGTTATGCCACAGAAGAGCCCCCAACAGCTCCGTCAACTTTCTTTCGATGATGCATTTTTCCTAAACGATTTATTTCCCATTAATATTTAATGTCAATGTAAATTTATTTTAAAATGTAAATAAATGATTTAAAATTTAGTTTTCTTTTAATAAATTTCTCTTTACTTTTCTATTTGATTCCTATTAATTTTAGTAAAAGTGTATGAGGTTATTAAATTGTAAATATGTTTCTTTTTTTTTATAGAGGCATTTTTTTTAATTTATTTGTTTTGTTTATACAAGCACTGGGTACAGTCAGAAGCGCGGGAGGGTGAGAGAATTCACCAGAGCCAGAGCGGGGAGCAGAGCAGGCAGAAGGACCGAAGGACACTGCTGAGGGGAGCAGCGGGCGGCAGGAGAGGTCTGCGCACCATGCGGGACCCTCCTCTGGTGGCCGGGGAGCAGCCGGGGATCGAACTGGTGCTGCAGAGGCTGCGGGCAGCTTCCCAACCCAGCGCTCAACAGCTGAGCCACCGGGGAGGCCCAATATGTTTCTTTTTTCAAGGGAAACTTTATAATATTATTACTAGGAAACTAGCATGGGTTGCCCTAGAAATAAAGTAACTACAAAAATTGTCAGCAAAATGTTTGTGTCCCGATGTGTGTGTGTGTGTGTGTGTGTGTGTGTGAAAGAGAGGGGGGTGGGAATCATGTTTGCACAGAACTGATATCCCCCCGGGACATGGTCGGAGGGCTTGAAAGCAAACTGAAAAGGGAGGAACAGAGAACAAAGCCGGCTCTGCCTGGTGTGTGGCTGCAAAGGCCTCTTCCCTCCCGGAGACCTGCCAGGGACTGCTCTGGGCGGCCGCGGCGCTGGGTTCTGGAAACAAGGCTGCCCCAGACAGACTGTCCCCCACCCCGGGGCCCGCCGGCGGGAGAGAACAAACACGCGTGACCTGCAAACACCGCTCGGAGCCGATCTGCGGCTGGGCGTCTCGGGCATTGCCCGCGGGCATCGCGTGGTCCGGAGTCTTTGCAAAGTCTTCCACGCGCGGGAAGGGGCGCGGGGCGCATCCCAAGGTGCTGGACGCCGCGGCGCGTGGCTGCCTAAAGCAATTTCTTGTTCAGCGGCGGAGGAGCGAGCGCGCCGCGCAGGCCGGGGCGGGCCCGGCTCACCTCGGGGTCTCCCGCTGCCCGAGCCCTCGCCGACCCGCCGCTGGCCCTGACCCCGCCCAGCCCCACCGCCTCCGGGAAGCCCGCCTGGACGCCCCGGCGCCCCGGCCTCGGCCTCGCGCCCCACAGGCCCAGCGCTTCCCCGGCGCCCGCTGGGAAGGTCCGCTTGGGGCTCCCCGGGCCGGGCACCCGGGCCTCCCCCGGCCTCCCGGGGGCCAGCTCGGCGCCGCCCGCCAGGCCGGCTGGCAACTGGAGGCCTCCGGGCTCCCCGCGTCGCCCGCGGGGCTCGGGGACGCCCGGCCCCGGGCCCTCGGGGGCGCCGACTTTGGGGGGCGCCAGCGCGTCTCTGGCCCCAGCCCGAGGCACCCCGCGGGTCCGGCGCAGAGCGCCCCTCCCGGCCCGCGGTGACCCGCAGGCGCCCGCGGGGGGAGGCGGGGGGCCTCTGGGCGGCGGCCCCGGGCGGCGCGGCGGGCGGGGGTCCCCGCGGGGTCCGGCGGGCGCGGCGCGGGGCGGGGCGGGGGCGGGGCGAGCCCGGAGCCCGCCGGGGGCGGAGCCGCTCGGCGCCCGCAGAGCCGAGGCCCGCGGAAACCCGCCAGGATCGCGCTCGGCTGCTCCCGCCCCCCGCCCTCTCTCGGGGAGACGGACCCCGGCCCCCCCCCGCCCGCGAGGCCGGCCTCGGGCCGCCCGGGCCTCGGCCCCCGCCGTGCGGGGCGGCCGCCCCCCTCCAGCCGCGCGCGGCGATGGCGCGAGGAGACGCCCCGCGGGACAGGCGAGTCGGGGCGGCGGGTGCTGCGGGCACTGGGCCGTGGGCCGCGCACACCCGCCCCCCGGGGTGCGCGAGGGCGCCCAGAGGCCCGCCCGGGACTACAAATCCCGTCAGGCGCTCCCCGCGGCCCGCGGCGCCGGGGCTGGGAGTCCGCGCCCGCGGGGGGCGGCCTGGGAGGCGGAGGGGCCGGGCGCCCCGGCGGCGCGTCCTCGGGGTGACCTTCCGCCCGCTCCCCACAGCTACCACCTGGTGGGCGTCAGCTTCTTCGTCCTGGGGCTGGGCACGCTGCTGCCCTGGAACTTCTTCATCACCGCCATCCCGGTGAGGCTCGCGCGCGCCCACCCGCCTCGGCCCCGGGCCACCTGCCCCCCGGACTCCCCTGTGTGCCCGTGTGTTGCGCCGCCGAGCGTCGGAGAGGGGCGGTGCTCGCGGAGTCCTGGAAACCGAGTTTCGGGGTGTCCATCCCCCGGCGGGCGGGCCCGGCGCGGGGGTCCTGTGCCACCAGCCAGAAGCCGCGCCCGGCCCAGCCCCGTCTGGCCTGGCCCCTGAGCCAGCGACCCCGAGTGGGTTGTCGGAGCCTCCCGTTCCTTGGAAGCGGCATGAAGTGCGCTCGCCCCTGCGGCACATGTCTAGGCGCAACTCCCGGGGGCCAGGAGACACCCAGGGGAAGCCGCTCTCCTTGGGCGGCTGAGGCTCCCCGGCGAGGGCAGAAGCGTGGGGCCGGGTTGTCCCTATATGTCCAGTCTGAGGGCTTTCCTGAGGCCTCTTTCGTGCCTGGCTCCAGGCCGAGCCCTGGAGACCCAGAGATGAACCAGCCCCTGCTCCTGGGCGCACATGGGCGCCAGCAAGCTATTAATAATGTAATGGGCCGTGCGCACGTGCCACCGGGCTGGGCACAGAGTCCCGAGGGTCCTGGGGGTGGGAGCAAATCCTTGTGCTGCACAGGAGAGGTGGCCAGTAACTTGGGCAAAGGGGAGTCGGAGCCTGTGCTGGGGGAAGGGTGTGTCAGGCAACCTTGCATGGGGGGGGGGGTAGAGAGTTCCAGAGCCTCAGAGAAAGGACCAGAGCCTGGGGGTACCTGGAGCTCAGCAGGATCAAACAGGAGGGGAGGCACAAGGGGAAGCTGGTTCTGGCTCTGAAGGCTGCGCTTGCTCTGCTGAAACCCCGGGGCTTTTCCTGCAGGGCCCGGGGCAGGGTGGGCAGGGGCAGGAGGAAGGGGTGCTTGTGTTTCAGAGAAATGCAGTCAGTCAGCACCTAGGCTTGCAGTAGGTGCTCAGTAAACACTCAGGAATGTGGAAGCTGCTGCAGGGGTGGGGGTGGAACTGGAGCCAGGGCACGAGGTGGAGGGATGACCCAGAGGGAGCTGGGGGTCCTGAGGGCTTGGCTCTGGCCCAGGCTCTGCCCTTCCCTCAGGGCTCAGGAGCCCTCCTGTGGGGAGGGCGTGGCGGGCAGTGAGGGACAAACACAGGGCTGAGCAACCCAAGCATCCATGGAAACAGGGGCTGGGGGTTCCCGTGGTGGGTTTTGGGGTGACCCTGTATTCTCCTCCCCGGGCATCCTGGCAGTACTTCCAGGGACGGCTCGCAGGGGACAACAGCACCGCCGTGACCCTGGGCACCAACCACACGGGCCCTGTAGACACCTTCAACTTCAACAACTGGGTGACGCTCCTGTCCCAGCTGCCCCTGCTGCTCTTCACACTCCTCAACTCCTTCCTGTACCAGTGGTGAGGCCCCCCGGGGCTCCCTCCCAGGCACCCCTCTGCAGTCCCTCCCTGCACCAGGCAGGTCCACTGGGACCCAGGGGAGACCCCCCCCTCCTTCCTCCACTCCCCCTGCCTCTCCTCTAGCCCCAACCGCGCCTCCCTCCTCCGGTGGGCACAGCTGATGCCCGGTGCCACCCTCCACAGCATCCCTGAGTCGGTGCGGATCCTGGGCAGCCTGCTCGTCATCCTGCTGCTCTTTGCCCTGACGGCGGCGCTGGTCAAGGTAGACATGAGCCCCGGGCCCTTCTTCGCCATCACCATGGCCTCCGTCTGGTTCATCAACTGTGAGCACCTCAGCCCCTCCCGTCCCAGACACCACCTCTCCTCGGGGTTCATCACCCCTATCCCCAGAGGGGGAGGGAGAGGTGCTCGCCCAGGCCCCTCGGTGACCTAAGAGCGGCCTCCTAGCCCCTGCCCTGCATCTAGGGCTGCACCTCAGAATAGGAATGACCGGGGCCTCAGGCCTGCCCAAGAACACCTCCTCCAGGGAGCCCCAGCCCCGCCCATTGAGCGTGGCCCCACCCCTGTCCCTCCGCAGCCTTCTGTGCAGTTCTGCAGGGCAGCCTCTTCGGGCAGCTGGGCACCATGCCCTCCACCTACAGCACCCTCTTCCTCAGCGGCCAGGGCCTGGCTGGGATTTTCGCTGCCCTTGCCATGCTCCTGTCCATGGCCAGTGAGTTCACTGGGCAGCTGGAGGGCGGGGTGGCCTCTGGGGTTCCGGGCAGCAGAGAGGATGTGCCAGCAGTGAGATGACTTGGTTCTGAATGAAGAGGGAGGCAAAGGGGTTGTGGGCAGCTGGGGATTGGGTTTGGGGGTAGGAGCGGGGCTGTGGCCTGCAGGGAGAATGACTGGGTAGGGCTTGGGTTACCTTGGGGTCCAGGCAGGAACGCCGAGGCCCACGCCTGTGTGTCGCAGAAGGTTGAGGCTGAGGGGAGAGAGAGCAGGTCGGGTGTTCAGATAGATTTGGTGGGAACCCCAAGTCTGTCCGGCAGAGGCCACTGGACAAGGCACTTAAGCTCGGGGTCAGTTCCCCATCCCAATGATGATGGCGGCTGTGTTCTCAGATTGCAGTGAGCCTGCATGAAGAGAACGCTCCTGGCACAGAGTAGGTGCTCACAAAGCAGGTGGCGCACACAGGGGAGTGGGATGGGAAGGAGTGGCAGGGCCGGAGGGGACTCTGAGATGCGCATCACCGGAGAACCGCCAGCCGGTGGGGGCCGGTGGGGGCCAGTGGGGGCCGGGGGGCCGGTGGGGGCCGGTGGGGTCTGGTGGAGCCCCACCACCTCCACCTGCAGCTGAAGTTCTCACACAGGCGGCGTGGATGCCCAGACCTCCGCCCTGGGGTACTTCATCACGCCCTGCGTGGGCATCCTCCTGTCCATCGTGTGTTACCTGGGCCTGCCCCACCTGGTGAGCCTGGGATGGGGCTGGCGGCCCCACATCAGAGCATCTCGGTTATGCCACTGACTCCGGGACCCTGAGAGAGGATGGGGTGGAGGAGGGGACCTGGGCCCAGTTCTGATCCCCCAAAAAGCCAGTCACTGGGGGGGCCCCAGCCAACCTGGAGGAATCCAGACACTTTGGCTCAGCCCGGCAGGGCCAACGCTCTCCCTTAACAGGAATTTGCCCGCTACTACCTGGCCAAGAAACCATCCCGGGCCCAAGGTCAGGAGCTGGAGACCAAAGCTGAGCTCCTCCAGGCTGGTGAGTCCTGGGCCCTGCAGGAGGCTCGAGCCACCCCTGCTGGGAAGCGCTTCCCCTCCGTCCCCCCTTAGCGCCCTCACCCCAATAGCCTTGTTTGGGCAGAAACAGACGATCCTGGAGGAAGGCCAGAGAGACTGCAGTCCGCCCTGCTGCCCTTTGGGCCTCAGTTTCCCCGTGTAAGATGGGGGGCAGCAGAGTGTCATGCTGGCGAGTCTTGATCACACGCACCTGGGTTCGAATCCCAATTTCACAACAGCCAAGCTGTGTGGCCCCAGGATGCCATTCACCTCTCTGAGCCTCTGTTAGTAAAACCACCGCAACGTGCGATCCGGCTAAGGCGGCTAACGCCACCTGGCAGGTGTGGCTTGCAAGCAGCCGCTCGGCGCCGTCATCGCGAATTCTCTCCACCCGCAGCCGGGCTGGAGGACGGTCCCTTGTGTCAAGCGCTGGCAGTGTCCCTCCTCGGCCTGGCTGTCAAAGGCAGGCCCCCGCCATCCTGTCTTGCCCTAGATGAGAAGAACGGGATTCCCACCAGCCCCCAGAAGGCAGCCCTGACTCTGGATCTCAACCTGGAGAAGGAGCCAGAGCTGGAGCCAGAGGAGCCGCAGAAGTCGGGGACACCTTCTGTCCTCGTCGTCTTCCGCAAGGTTTGGCCGAGACAGGGCTCCCAGCGGCCAGCCCCGGGAGAGAGGGCGGCCCTCTCCAGGCTGCGCGGAGACCCTGAATGGAATGGGGCCTCCGGACGCACCGTCCGCCCCCGGGGCAGGGGCAGAGTGGGCCAGAGACAGCCGGGCCAGGGCTGGGGCAGGAGGCTGGGGGCCGCCCTGCCTGCTCACGCTCCTGCCTCCGGCTCCCAGATCTGGCTGACGGCGCTGTGCCTTGTGTTGGTCTTCACAGTCACCCTGTCTGTCTTCCCTGCCATCACAGCCATGGTGACCAGCTCCACCAGTCCCGGGAAGTGGAGTGAGTGTTGGGGAGCAGAAGGGGGCAGGGCGGGGGTGAAGAGGAGAGAGGGGGAGGCCGCGGGGGTCAGGCTGAGCCCTCTCTGCCTCCCAGGTCAGTTCTTCAACCCCATCTGCTGTTTCCTGCTCTTCAACGTCATGGACTGGCTGGGCCGGAGCCTGACCTCTTACTTCCTGTGGGTGAGCCCACTGGGCTGGGTGATCTGGCGGCTTTAGGAAGGCCGGAGGCCTAAGTGGCCTTAGGAAGCCCAGCTGGTCCGGGCCTGGCGCGGGGACACCTGGCCCTGGAGCCACGCGGGCCGGGGCTTGCGCCATGAGCTTCTTGGAAGCAGAAGCCGCCTCCCCGTGGGCTCCGTCCCCAGCACCCAGCCCAGGCCCAGCCCTTGGTGCTCAGAGACTTACCTGGAGGCTCCTGCATGAGGCAAGAGCGGGGGCGGGGTCCCGAGTGCTGGATTGGGCTTCCCGAGGCTGCGTCTTTAAGCGGATCTTCCAGAGACACGACCATCCACTCAGTCAGGGAGGAGCTGCTCCGATGCAAGCCAGGCGGGGCCTGGACCCCAGCTGCGGATTCCACTGCCCGAAAGGGATCCATGGAACCCTCAGGGGATGCTGGGAGGAACTGAGTTTGCAAACTGCAGCGACCACGAGGGCATCCTCAGCCATGGAGGGAGAACAGCTAGAGTCGGGAGAGGCAGCGGCTGCCGGGCCCGGCCTCGCAGTCCAGACGCCCCAGGGAGGTCCCACTGGGGACCGCAGCAGGGGAGGTCAGGGAAAGCGAGGGGTCTCTCTGGGTGCCGAGGGGCCCGGAGCGGACGCCCGGCTCCGGGGACCGTCCTCACCCGCGCTTCTGCCACAGCCAGATGAGGACAGCCGGCTGCTGCCGCTGCTCGTGTGCCTGCGCTTCCTGTTCGTGCCGCTCTTCATGCTGTGCCACGTGCCCGGGAGGTCGCGGCTGCCCGTCCTCTTCCCCCAGGACGCCTACTTCATCACCTTCATGCTGCTCTTCGCCGTGTCCAATGGCTACCTGGTGTCCCTCACCATGTGCCTGGCGCCCAGGTCCGGGGGCGGGTGGGCTCCCTTGGGGTCGGCCGGCGGGGCGGGTCCAGGCTGCCTCCAGCCCAGCCCGCGCTGCCCAGGCCCTCTGCCGAGCCCTCTCTGCCGGAGCCGGGCCGTGCGGGCTGGGGCGGGCACCTGCCTCGGTGAGCGGCCCAGGCACCTCTTTCGAGGCCGCCGCTCCAGGCCTGTCTCCCCACTGTCACCCTGCGGGCCGCGAGTGCTCGGCGGGAGGAGAGCTAAGGCCTCGGTCAAAGCAGGGCTCCCGGGATTCACTGTGGGGCAGTGGGGCTGAGGCCCCGGGGAGAGAGGTTGGGGACATTTTGTCCAGGGAGAAGGCAGCGGAATTAGAATCTTGGGATGCTGGATCCAGGGTCCCTGAGAGCTGTCCGTGGCCCATGGCCTCATTTTACAGACCAGGAAACAAGCCCAGAGGGAACAGGGCCTGTGACAGTGACCTTGAGGCTGGATCTGGCCCGAGTGGCACTTGGGCGTGCTGGCAGAGACGGGCAGAGGGCGCGGGCGGGTGCAGGCTCGGCCTGGCACGCCCTGAGGGTTCCGCCTCCTGTGTTTTCCAGGCAGGTGCTGCCACACGAGAGGGAGGTGGCCGGCGCCCTGATGACCTTCTTCCTGGCCCTGGGGCTCTCCTGTGGGGCCTCCCTGTCCTTCCTCTTCAAGGCGCTGCTCTGAAGGTCTCCTCGGGCTCTCCCGGCGGTGTTCCCCGCTGCCCATCCACAGCAGCCGCCCAGCACAGGGGGAACGGTGGGCCCGGCTCGAGCCTCTGCTGGGCCGTGGTCTGGGGGTGCCAGGAGGAGGTGGGCTTTGCTCTCCTTCCCTGGTGGCTGGCCACTTGGGGTGCTACAGGGAAGACTTGACCAGGTGAGGGTCATGCCGGCCCTCACCCAGGAATGGCGCTGACACACACCCCTCGCAGGAAAGGTGTTGGCCGAGGACTAGAGGGCCCAGGGGCCTCGCCTTCCTCCCCATCAGGAAGGAACACGCCTGCTAATCTCAAGAAAGCCCCTTGCTGGTCACCGGGGATCGGAGGCCCCACCCCGGCCCCGGCGCCTGGCTGAGGTGTGGTGGGCATGGCCCCACTTTCAGGTTCAGAGCAGAAGTGGGGGCCAGCCAGGGCAGGATCGCCCTTCTCACTGACCCTCGGATCCCAGGGAAGAGGCTGCGGGGAGCTCCAGGGCAGCGGGGGCGGGAAGGCCTGGGACCTGCCCAGAGGACTCCCCGGGCCTCAAGCAGTGTTTTCGCTTTGCCAAGACAGACTGTCTCCGCTCACCAGGGCCCCGCAGCCTGCGGGGTTACAGTTTGCAAAGCCCTTCACACCCAGCCCCACGCCTCAGATTTCCTTGGAGGAGCCAGGCAGGGACTGTGCTCCCTCCTGGAACAGTTGAGGAAACCAAGTCCAGGGAAGCTACTGGTCCACGGCCGAGCCAGGACCCAGCACCCCTCCCACTCCCGTAGGTGCTGCTCTTCCGCCTGCTCCGTCTCTCCTTTCCTCAGGGACTCGGGCAGGAGCCCCACGCACCTACTTCACCTTTTTGCGGTTTTTCCTTTTGACCTGGGTCCTGGGTCTAATAACAGCCTTCTTCATTTGCATCACGAGTTCACAGAGTCTTTATTTCCAAAGTGCTCTCAGCTCAATTTGTATTGATGGGCTGGGGGAGGGGATTGTACCCATTTGGCAGGTAGGGTGACTGAGGCCACGGGAGGGCAGGGGCGGTGGGCATTGCTGGCTTGGTTCTCTCGACCCCATGGTGGCCGAAGCTGCTTCTTGCAAGGTGCCCTGGATTTCTGGGCAGGGCCCTAGCTAGATGGCCGGCGGCCACGTTGCCCTCCGCCGGCGTCCTTTGCCTCTTCTGGGCTGCTGCTTCTTGGAAATGGAGCCTCAGAGGCAGCCAGCCTTGGCAGGGGTTTACCACCAGGCCAGTTCGCAGAGGAACGCAGTAAAGGACTGCTTCCCCCCATACCTGCTCTGCCCTGCCCAGCACAGCCCTTTTACTCACCTGCCTTCCTGCTGTCCAGGAATGTTCACTGAGCAGCTGTGATATACCAGGTGTCTCGCTGGGCATGGGCCCTGCTCAGAAGCCAGAGGCTGCTTTTATATATTTTCTAAAAGATTTATTTATGCATACAAGAACTGGGGTATAGGCCAGAGGTGTGGGGGGTGAGAGGATTCACCAGAGACAAAGTGGGGAACAGAACAGGCAGAGTGAGTGAAATCCACTGCTGAGGGGAGCAGCAGGGAGACAGGAGAGGTCTGCTGCACCATGTGGGTCGGCTTCCTGCCCAGGGATCGAGTGCTACAATGGCTGATGATAGCTTAATAGCTTGATAGTGCTGTGTCTTTAACCCCTGTGCCACCAGGGAGGCCCAGCTGCTTTTATATTAAGGGAGAAAGTGAGGCAAAGTCTGACCTCAGCAGCTGGATAAGCCACAGGGCAGACCCCAAGTGAGGACTCAGAACTTCAGCCAGGCCCCAGCTGGACTATGAAGCGCCGTGGAAAGAGGAGTACAACTTGCGGCAGGCTTGGGGAGCCCTAAAGAAGTACCTAATGTAAGAGTCTAGAAAGGGGGTGTTGTTGATCCCACTGGGAAGTCAGGAGAGGCATTTGGAGGAGGTGTTTCTTCAGGTGGGTCTTGAAGGAGGTATATGAGTTGGCTGGGCTGGGTGAGGAAGGGGCACCCCAGACTGAGGTGCCAGACTGAAGACAGCAGCATAGAATAGGGAACGAAGGGGGTGGAGGGGCCTTGGGTGTGCGTGGGGGGCAGTAAGGAGGCTGGAGCAGTGGGTTGGGGACACGGTGAAGGACCTTATGGGCGGGGTCACCTAGGAGGCAAAGGAGAGTGATGCCGGCAAAGAGTGTCAAAAGTGACTTTAAAGTGATCCCACTGCACGCTGCCTACAAGAAACTTCCTTCAGATCCCGAGGCACACAGAGGTTGAAAATAAAGAATGGGAAGGAAAGATCATCAAGCAGTACCTAGAAACATCGGGGAGACACACTATACCAGACAAAACAGACTTTGGGTCCAAAATTGTCACGAGACAAAGGACGGCCGTGAAAGGGGAAACTCGTCAAGAGGCGTTTCAATGTCATGAAGCTACACACATGACAGAGCCCTGAACGGTGGGAAGTGTAACAGAACGGTTCAGTAAGAACAATGTAATTAATAAATGAGCAACAGGTAAGAGCTGACAATGGATCTCCAGAGGCCAACAGACCTATGAAAAAATGTTGATCATCTCCAATAAGAGATGCAGATGGAAACCACCATGAAATACCCCTACATGCCACGAGATCCCCCCACATGCCACGAGACCCCCCCTCACGCCACGAGACCCCCCTCACACCACGAGATCCCCCGCACACCACGAGATCCCCCGCACACCACGAGATCCCCCGCACACCACGAGATCCCACTGCACACAACGAGATCCCCCGCACACCACGAGATCCCACTGCACACCACGAGATCCCCCGCACGCCACGAGATCCCCCCCGCACACCATGACAAGGGCACATATTAAAAACAAGTGTGGAGGGGTGTGGAGAAAGGAGCCCTGTTACACAGTGGGGGGTGGAAACTAAGGAAAGTGATCTGAATTCACCTTTACAACTAAAAAGGGAAGTAGCATATGACCTGGCAGGCCCGCTCCTGGGCCTCCAGCCAGAGTAATATGAAACCACCAATTTATTTATTTATTTATTTATTTATTTATTTATTTATACATGCACTGGGCACAGTCAGAAGCGCGGGAGGGTGAGAGAATTCACCAGAGCCAGAGCGGGGAGCAGAGCAGACAGAAGGACCGAAGGACACTGCTGAGGGGAGCAGCGGGCGGCAGGAGAGGTCTGCGCGCCATGTGGGACCCTCCTCCGGTGGCCGGGGAGCAGCCGGGGATCGAACCGGCACCGCAGAGGTCGCCGGCAGCTTCGCAACCCAGCGCTCAACCGCTGCGCCACCGGGGAGGCCCGAAACCACCAATTTAAAAAGGCCCCACGTCCCAGGGTTAGCAGCAGCCTGTTTACAACAGCTGGGACAGGGGAGCAGCCCAAATGCCCATCAACAGATGACTGGATCGAGGCCATGTGGTAAGTCCAGGCCTGCGGAATACTACTCAGTCATTTTGAACAAAATGAAAGGCGTTTGAGAGAATCATGTGCAGTAAAGCAAGTCAGAATGATCAAAGCAAGCACTGGACGTTTACACAGCAGACGACTTGATAAAACACAAAAACTAGCGGTCATCAAAAAGCCATCAGGTGGGCTGGGGCTAAGGGTGGGAGGAGGAAAGGGACAAGGGACAAGAGGGAGGGAGGGAGGAGGGTGCTTGAGAATCCACGAATCCCGGATACCACGAGTGAGAAGGGTCTGGAAGGGGAGAAAAGGGGGTCAGGACGTGTGGGGGGGCAGGGGGGCGCCCACAGGTTTCAGGTCAGGCCTGACAGCTCAAACTGCTCAAAACAAGAGCAGAAGAGCAGCTGCAAAACAAAGTGAAACCCTCTCTGTTTGTTAAAATAAAGAAAGAAAAAATTAACAGGATTGAAGGAGAAAGGGACGCTTCTATTATGTAATAGTTGGAGACTAAAGGGTAGAACAGTGCGACAGAACAGCAACAAGGAAATACAGGACTTGAACACACTACAAGCCCGCCAGGCCGGCAGACACTACACACCACTGCACCCAAAGAGAGTTTGATGCACCTTCTTCTCAAGAGCACACACAACAGTCTCCAGGATAGATCCATATTGGCCCACAAAGCAAAGTTGCAATAAACTTTTTTTTTTTAAGATTTATTTATTTATTTGTACAAGCACTGGGTACAGTCAGAAGCGCGGGAGGGTGAGAGAATTCACCAGAGCCAGAGCGGGGAGCAGAGCAGGCAGAAGGACCGAAGTACACCGCTGAGGGGAGCAGCGGGCGGCAGGAGAGGTCTGCGCGCCATGTGGGACCCTCCCTCCGGTGGCCGGGGAGCAGCCGGGGAACCGCTGCACCACCGGGGAGGCCTGTAATAAACTTTTAAAGATTGAAATCCTATAAAGTATATTCTCTAATCACAATGGAAACCAGGGATCAGTAACAAAAGAAAAACTGGAAATTTTACAAATATATGGCGATTAAATAACACACTCTTAAGTAAGCATTTGGTCAAAAAGAAATTAAAAGAGAAATTTGAAAATCCCTTGAAAAAAATGAGAATGTAAATGACATAACAAAATGGATACAGGACTTTAAGGAAATTTAAAGTTATAAATCTTAGCCTACATTAAAAAGGAAGAAAGATCTCAAATCAATAACCTAGTCTTACACCTTAAAAAAACTAGAAAAAAGAAAGCAAACAGACCCAAACCTTACAGAAGATTAAAGTGGAGAGAAACAAAATGGAGCATAGGAAAAAAAATAGAGAAAATCTATGAACTCAAAATTTGGTTCTTTGAAACAATCGACAAAATCAAAACACCTCTGTCTAAACTAAGAAAAAAAGAAAGAATAATTTAAAATTACTAAAATCCGAAATGGAAGTGGGGCCATGGCTAGTGAGTATAAGAAGTTAAAAGGGGGGGGGGGGCCTCCCCAGTGGCGCAGCAGGTTGAGCACTGCACTGTGAAGCTGTCTGCAGCCTCTGCAGCACTGGTTTGATCCCTGCTGGCTGGCGAGAATTCCACATGGTGCGGCAGACCTCTCCTGTCGCGCCCGCTGCTCCCCTCAGCAGTGTATTTCTGTTGTCTGCCTGTTCTGCTCCCTGCTCTGTCTCTGGTGAATCCTCTTGCCCTCCTGCGCCTCTGGCCTGTACCCCAGCTCTTGTATAAAAATAAATAAATCTTTAAAAAAAAAAAAGAAGTTAAAAGGGGGCCTCCATGGTAGCTCAAGGTGTTAAGACACAACCTATGAGGCTGTCCACAACCACTGCAGCATGAGTTCGATCTCCAGCCAGGGAGCTACCCACATGGCACAGACCTCGCCTGTCTCCCCGCTGCTCCTCTCAGCAGTGTACTTCAGTAGATCCACCTGTTTTGCTCCCCGCTCTGTCACTGCTGAATCCTCTCACCCCCCACACCTCTGGCCTGTACCCCAGTTCTTGCAAGCATAAAGAAATCTTTAAAAAAAGATTCTAGAGGAGGGAACGCTCCCCAATCCATTCTAGGCAACCATCATTACCTTGATGTCAAACCAGATAACAACATAAGAAAACTACAGACCGGGCTTCCCCGGTGGCACAGCAGTTGAGCGCTGGGCTGTGAAGCTGCCCGCAGCCTCTGCAGCACCTGTTTGATCCCCAACCGCCAGCAAGGGTCCCACATGGTGCGACAGACCTCTCCTGCCGCACCTGCTGCTCCCCTCAGCAGTGTGCTTCGTCAATCTGCCTGCTCTGTTCCCTACTCTGGCTCTGGTGAGTTCTCTCACCCTCCCGCACTTCTGACTCTATCCAGTGCTTGTATAAATAAATAAATAAATAAATCTTTTAAAAAAAAAAAGAAAAGAAAAAGGAAAATCTATTAAAACAAAAGAGAGAAAACTACAGACCAATATCCTTTATAAATATAGATCCAAAACTTCTCAGCAAAATACTACCAAACCAAATGCAGAGCAAACTGAAAGGAT